TCAAAATTTACGCCACAGCAACGCGTGGCCGGGTACAGCTAGTTACGCTATAAAGTAAAATAAAGAGGTAGAGACATTTTCACACCAGGCATTGCTTGGGACTGAAAGAATTGACAAGCAAGTCATAAAAAGTAATTAATCAAGGGTTTGGTGAAATCAGACGGTGGATGTAATCAAGTCATGATTCAGCAAAAACAAATGGACTAGCTGAGATCAGGCCTAGGTAGGTAATATTTCTGCCACAGGATATTTCATTGTAAACAGACCCATCCACTTCCCAGGGGAATTTTAAGCTGACAAAGAAATGTACTTAAGACAATTTTATTGCATCACTGCAATAAGTATAACATTTAAATATTAACTGAACAAATTTCAGTTTTATCATATTCTATATAATATATATATGTCAAATGTACTGAAAATAATCAGTTTAATTACAAACTAAAAAATAATTATAAATGCAAAATTTCATCCTTGCAACTTGTTACAATGTCACATTTGTAACTAACCATACAGGTCGATATATGATGAGATGTGATGACCAGTTGACTTTCTCGAGTGTGAAACAGCCAACGACCTGTATTGTATACACTATAGTGTACTTATAGTACTACTACTACTACTATTTACTATACATATTGGATTATTATTTAATGAAATTATTAATTTATTAGTTTAAGCGGTACCATACCATGACTCAGGCCTTCATAAGCTAATTTTTGCCATTGAAATTAAAACCTATGAACCCCCACAAGTTATTATAATTAAAAAATAACTGAAGTAATATAATAAATAATATAATATAAATATTTGAATGACTGAATCACTGAAATGGGAGACAAAAACCTTCGCCGACCTTTGCAACAGTTCCCCTCACTACTAACTACAAATCAAACAGACACACTTTACTTTCACATCAGTACAATTTGCTCAGCAAGTTATGATAAAACAACGCTAGCAAATATAATCAAGTGCAAAAAGCTCACTCTTGCAACTTGTTTTAAAGTCAACCTTTCGGCCAACCGTCCAGATCGAAATATAGAGGTCGCCATATTTTTGTTGGGGTATCGCAAACCGTCGTACAATTCAAGTTTCGTTCATCTACTGACTGGTAAGTCCAAGTTTGAATGCGAGTTGTTGTCCCCACGAGTACAAAGGTTAGGCAGGGGTGGTCACTCAAAGAATTTTCTTCTGCGACACTGCGGGGGCTGCGGTAGAGAATTTCATGTGATATTCGAAGAAAAACTGTCGTCATGAATCCTTTGACGTAAGATATGTTATTGACTTATACTTCTTTTTCTGAGAAGCAATTCTGTATTGAGGGGCAGACGAAGTGCATGCATGGGGTTTCTTAGCAAAGGCGAAGCCGAAGTCGCAAAGTGCAGCAACAAAGCCTATGCCCTATATCACAATGTCTAGTTTGAGAATGGAGAAGGAGGCAGTCACTGCTGGCTTGAGAATCAGCTGTATGTCAAAGTTGTAACTGACTCACAGAGCATGTTGAGAAAGGTGGAGACAGGCATACTGCGTGCAAAGTGAAAGTGGTCTCGGGTAGCATGCAACAGCAATAATTCTTCGGCTCTCCTGTCAAATCCGGACGAAGAATAAAAAGCCGTGGACGACTTAGTCAGAGTTCTCTCCCGTGGCTGCACTCCAAACAGTGATCGGAAAAGCCAACGAAACAAACGACACACTTACCTATCATCCTACGGTTGCGTGTAGGGCTGCGTACGGTTGCGTGAGGCATCGTGGCATCATCATATGGTTGCGTGCAGGGTTGCGTACGGTTGCGTGAGGCATTGTGAATGGTTGTGTAGTCATGCGGTTGTTGGGTTAGAGTTAGGGGTAGGGTTAGGGTTAGATGTTAAAATTAACATCGCCAACCGTATCTGTCGCTACAGTCTTGCCGGGGACATAGGAACATTGGCCGCGTGCACGAGGTACACGGTTGCGTGTTCCTTATCAGACTATGCTCAGCTAGCCACCGCAACCACGCATACTTATCTGTCATTATGGCATACAGGTCTGCAGGAGTTACGTCCGTGGCAACTAAGTCGTGCGTCGGAAGAACGATGTTAGTTATGTGAGTGCGTCTAACTGCCATGTTGCTTGTGTCATTTGTTTCGTTGTGGCTTTTCCAATCACTGTTTGGAGTGCGGCCATGGGAGAGAACTCTGACTAAGTCGTCCAAGGCTTTTTATTCTTCGTCCGGATTTGACAGGAGTACCAATTCTTCTCCTAACCTCCAATGACATGGATTTATTGCATAAAATGTACTTCATTTTATAAAATGCAGTTTTGGCCTGTCCTGTTCTGTTCTTTATCTCTGTGACACATCTTTCATCAGATTTTATCCATGTGCCTAGATACTTACATTTCTATACTTGTCTTGTCTTAAAATAACCTTTGACTTTTTAAAAAATATATATATACATTTAGTTTTAGGCATGATTCCTTTTTTTTTTTAGATATCATTACTTCTGTCTTCCCATTATTCGAACTGAGGCCCATGTTATCACTTTCTACCACCACCATATCTTTCAATGCCTGTAGCTCTTTCTGACTTGTTGCTATCAAGACGAAATCATCAGCATAATGTATTTTGTTCAAGCTATGACCACCAGCCACAGTTCCTGGCATATTCATAATAGTCTCATTATAGATTCACTGTATAATGAAAACAAATCAGGTGATAGTACACATCCTTGTTGCACTCCCCTCTTTATGATCTGAAATGTTCCTCAATGGTTATCATCAACTCTTATAGCTGCTGTTTGCTGCCAGTACATGTTCTGTATAATTGTGATGTGTATATACCAAAACCACAAACATACTCCAGAATCATACAAGTATCACATACACACACACATGTACCTGTAGAATCGTATACACATACCACACCACACACATCCCAAAAAGCTCATACATTTACTTGTCCTAATCTAATTTCTGGTGGGTTTTCTATTTTTAGTTTTACCTTAGACAATCATCCATGTACCACACACTCACATATATACCACAGTACCACACAGCTACCACAGAACCACACACTTATCACAGACCCACATACCACAGGACCATACCCTTACCACAGCCACCCACATACCACAGACTCACATACACACCCTAGCCACCCACTTACCACAGACTCACATACATACCAAAGTACCACACCATTACCACAAAACCTCACACTTACCACAGACCCACACACTTACCACAGAACCACACACTTACCACAGAACCACACACTTACCACAGACCCACATAAATATCACAGTGCCATACACTTACCACAGACCCACACACATACCACAGCTCCACACACTTACCACAGATCCACACACATACCACAGTTCCACACACTTACCACAGACCCACACACATACCACAGTTCCACACACTTACCACAGTACCACACACTTACCACAGACCCACACACATACCACAGTTCCACACACTTATCACAGAACCACACACTTACCACAGACCAACATACATATCACAGTGCCATACCCTTGCCAAAGAACCACACACTTTTCGTGGAACCACACAGCTACTACATAGCCACAGACAAATCACAGACCCACACTTACCACAGAACCACATACATACCACAGTACTACACATTTACTACAGAAATGCACACTTATCACGGATCCACACAATTATCACGGAACCACATAGCCACAAACTTATCAGAGACCCTCATACATACCACAGTACCACAGACCCTGTTACATACCACAGTACCACACACTTACCACAGAACTACACACTTACCACAACAACTCACAGCTACCACATAGCCACACACTTCCACATACCCATACCGTTACCACAGACTCGCATACATACCACAAGAACCACACAACGTATTTCACCCTGATCTAAAAAAACTAGATAACTGATCCCATTACCCAAAAAGCTCAAGGGGACAAGTGATATTAGATATCAATAATTCTTATAGGAACTAAACTAAAATTAAGGAAACAGGCACATGCAAGAGAGACCCTAAAATCAACATTGATGTGAGGCCAGTGGACTGAATACCATGCAGAATATCAAATAGACTGCAGTGAAAAGGACACCGTGAAGGAATGACTGTGAGGACGATGAAATCTATAAATGACACAAAAGGATGATGATGATTCTTGTAACTGTTCTACCCTTGAACCAGGTACCATTTGAATTCACACCCAGCCGTTTCTGATGTGTGCTGTATGCAGGTTCACCAGCGAACTGTCACAGGAATCATCAAACCACCTGCATACGTTACCCATCAGAAATGTAAGCCACACCTTCCTACATCAGACAACAATAGCCCCAAGTTTCCTTCAACCAAGTCTTTTTTTTAATACATCAAGAAGAAACAGTCTGTGATCACTATTTCTTCGTCGTCTTTTTCACCTTCACTCAGATGGAAAAGTTCTGGCTATTCATTCATTTTGATCTTGTTCCAGCACTGAAGTTTTTCATGCCCATACATTTTATAAATTTGGCTTATTCGTATGCAGACTGCTTTTTCCTCACATCTCAGACAGGTGCACTCTGGCTTCGAAGGATACACCTTTAATTAGTTGACTTTTAACTTGTGGGAGGGGGGGGGGTAGTGGGTCTTTCCCTTCCCCATCCCCCCACTATACCTCTCCCAGTGGGGCCCCAGAACCCACACATAGGTGTTCACTGTGAAAGGCTCCTGCTTCTACAACTGTGTTCTTTGCCCTGTACAGACAAAAAACCAGACAGAGAAATTAAGAAAGAGTTTAACATTATTTTATGTTTGCATTTCAGAATTGTAAAAAACATCCAGAAGCTTAATGATAGAGAACTTGAACTTGGAATTATAGGCAAAAAGTCCTGGCATGATGAGTACAAAGACAGTGCCTGGGTTTACATTGGCGGTTTGCCATTTGACCTGACAGAAGGAGATGTGATTTGTGTTTTTTCTCAGTAAGTTGATTATTTTGTTGACATAATATTTTATTAGGTTTGTCGAAGTTATGGTCAAATGGAAGTTAGTGTTAATAATTTGTTACTGGTACCCGTAAGGGTTTTGTGGCTAGTGCTAAAAGGTTATTTATAGATGCCGCTGATTTGGCAGCAGACAGTTGTGAGTTAATATTAATAGTAGAAACATTGGACTCTTCAGAGAGCAGTGGCAAACTACTGAACATGAAATTGCCTAGTAAAACCACAAACAGCCTAAAATTGATGGGATAAATTTGTGACATCATGTAAATTTTAGTTCAGTAGAATTGAGCTGAGAACTGACATCACAGCCCTCGGGATATACCCATATGTGCTTCCTCCTCATCTTCAGCAGCCAGTAAAGAGTTACAATGCTGATGATACCAGCGGCTGTCTGATAATATGTCCGCCTTGCCTTTCCTTTGTGTGCAAAGTGTCGGTGAGATCCTGTGGTCTGTTCCTGCTGCATCACTCTAGTGACCTGCTTGCACTTCTGCATTGGCTGCTTTTACTTCCCATGACATATCCTACTACTCATTTTAGTCTAGGTTGACCTAATGTTAAAGTCAGTTGTAAAAAAAAAAATCCAAATTAATGCAGATTATAACCTAAGAGATTTAGGTGGTAACAAGGGTTTAGTCACTGTGCTTTCATGGCTCCCTTAAAAACCATTAGTATTAAGACGAATTTCACGGACAACCACAGAACAGTTTTTGGTAACAATACGGTACCTGTTTTAACATTTGGCTGTGGATCTTGAACAGTTTGTTAACAAGCCAGGCAATTTATTGAGGCCTCACAGATGTGGTTTTACAAAAGAATCCTTAAAATTCCATGAACAGCCAAAAGGGGTAACCCAGATATTTTGAAAGAGGTTAGGGTCCGAAGCCAAACTTATCACAGACATCAGAAAATGACTGTCATCATATTTTGGTCATGTCATGAGAAGGAAACTGGAACATGCTGTGACAACTAAAGATGTGTGGAAGAATGTTTGAATAGGGAATTAAGAATCAACCTCATAGCACCCAGGACACTCCCATAAGCGCTCCATCCCCATCTTCAGCAACAAGCTAAGAGTTCCAGTTCCAATGATACTTGTAACTGTCTGATTCTATATCCGTCTCGCCTTTCCTTTGAGTGTTGAGCGCCGGGCAGATCAATTATGTGGAAGTAATTGAAGAAGACAACATGAGAAGATTTTTTGACAGCAAGGTTGCCATGACACATGAACTGATGCATGCTGTTTAAGATTGCAGAATGTGGAGAGGCATGATCACCCATGCCAGTTGGCAAGGCACTTAAAGATGATAACTCCTGGCTCAACAATGAAGTCTTAAGCTTATCCAAAAGTATATTATACCTTTCATACTACACATTTTTAATTGACAATATTGTATATCCTTTTATAGGTACGGAGAAGTTGTCAATTTAAATCTCATCAGAGATCATAAAACTGGGAAGATTAAGGGATATGGATTCCTCTGTTATGAAGATCAGCGCAGCACGGTTCTTGCTGTTGATAATTTGAATGGAATTAAGGTAAGCTTTTTATACAGTCGAGTTTGGATAAGTAGAAGTCGCGGGGACCTAAGAAAATGATTCAACTTATCGGGACTTCTACTTATCCGGACAGCACACACAATAGGGAATGTACACTAAAGCCGAGCATTGAGTAAAAAACAATTATACCAGCTAGGAAACACTATAACTTAACAAATAAATAGCAATACAGTATCAGAAATGATGAAATATTTTATTTTTTTAGAAGGAATAACATTAAAACTATATGAAAATTCTGACAATAATTAAAGAAAAAGTTTGATTTTGCTTTTCTTTTTGGACTGAAAAATGTCTTTCCATGACATGTGTAAATGCAACAAATGGTGAGATTACATCATCTGAGCACCCAGTCTGCATCATGTAAATTTTAATTTTGTTCATGTGTGCCAAAGAATCTGACTGTGATACAGGTTGTGCTTGCAGCCCACAGTCATCCTCATCATCAGAGTCATGGCTCAGATGATCTGTTGGTTGAGTGGTTGGCTCACATAACACTAGAATATCACTGCTTAAAAGAATGGCACTGGTAAAAACATCATTATCAATGTTCACATACTCCTCTGGTTAAATGTTTAGCTCTTGATACAACCTAGCAAGTAATAGCTGCACTAAAATATCAGTAACATTACTCTCATTGCTTTGTTGATGGTGCGGAATTCTCATTTACTGGCACGTCTGATGCAGGTAAGAGGCCAGCTTGTCTAAAGCAGTTTGCAACAGTTGCAGGCAAAACTGTCCCATGGAGATTTTAACATTAAAATAGCATCAGGAAGGGTTATTTTGAAATCATTAGAACTGAAGTCAGCATCCATATGACCAACAAGTTTTTGACAACATGGTAGATCTATAATGAACTTTAAAAGGCAATCTTAACCTTTTGAAACTAAATTTTATACTATTTAATTTCTTCATTCAAGTATAGTGTAGGGTTTTATATTGAAGACCTGAGATCAATAAGATACTGTCAAACTGACTGCAAAGGCTTTACAAATGCCCCTCAGATCCTTGTCAGTTGTATTCATTATTTTTCTATGCTGGGGCTCAAGCCTCTGATCTGTATCGATCCCCATTTTCAAAATGTTGGCCCCCGAGTAAACTTAGTTGAAAAGCCCTGATGTTGTAAGTAAAGGACCCTTTTCTACGCCTTTCAGGTTTATTGGGTATATAGGGCTAGACCTATATTTTATAAGCCAAACGGCACTTGATGGGTAATGTGGTAAGCATCTCCACAGCCGCCTTTACTTCCCAGCACTGTACCTGGTACCCACTCAAGGCTGGGTTGACCTGGGAGCCAAGATCATTTTTGAAAAAAATTGGGCCCTCGTCAGGAACCAAGCCCACGGCAGCTCCAGATCTAGATGTTGTGGAAATCAATTATTTTTTAAATCAGCAGTGTTATTTGCTTAACTGATTATCCTCTCTTGCTAGATTCTGGGCAGAACAATCCGAGTTGATCATGTTAAGGATTACAAAATACCCAAAGAATTTGGAGACGAGGATGCTGTCACTCTGAAAATTCGTAATGAAGGGTGTGCTCCGCAGCTAGACTTACCAGGTGAGGCTGAGGTAAAAGAAGAGACAAGTGATGAGGAAAATGCTAGAAAAGTGGCCAAAAAAGGTAAATGTATTTGAAAATATTCTCGCCTAATTCAGTTTCTTCCTCGTTTTAATTTTTTTGTTTAAATATTTTCTTTTTACAAATAATGTTTTTTTTTTTTTTTTAAATTTGCTTTTTAACCCACAACAGAACAAAGATCCTCAGCTGTCTCATTCAAAGCCCTCCTGTCCTGTAGAATTGGATTATATCAAAGGGACAATGGTGAACACATGTTGTGACCTAATTAAGTGTGTGTTTTTCCCCAATGGCCGCAAGGAGTGAACACCACGTATTCTTGAAGGAAATTTAACAAGAAAATGGACGGTCAGCATAAGGAGAATGTTAACATGTAGACATGGATTTGGTTACTTGCAGAAGAGATGGGCACCACCAGGCAGACCGAATGCCCACTGAAATGTATGATGGATAGTTGACTTCAGAAAGGCATTTGTCCATGTGTGGCATGTTAGGTTCTGTCAAATAATGAGGAATTTCAACGTTGATAAGAACATCATGAATACCATTGAAGCACTTTATAAAGATCAAGCACTGCAGTACTCATACAAAATTCCAGGGACACATTTTTCAAAAGCAGTGTGGGATTGAGACAGAGCTGCATATTATCCCCTGTGCTTTTCAGTTTGTACTTGAAATATATCAGGAGAGAAACGCTAGGAAAATCACGAAACATCTATATCAGCTGGCAGAAGACCACAATATAATTTACATTTCACAGATGACATTGATCTCATGGCTGGTTCCAAAGCAGAACTCCAAGAACTTACTTCTTCTTCTTCATCTTCTCTTCCACCTTGTACCTCATCAAAGTGTTGGGGGGAGATGTAACATTCGTTGATGAGCTCTGTCAAGAGAACTATTAAGGCTGATGTTCATTTCTGTAAGGCCATTTCTTAGTGCCATCACTCCATCTTTTCCGAGGTTTTTCACCCGTTCTTTACCCGTTATAACATTTTAGTGTGGCTCGCTGTGGCAGATAGTACCAGGGCATTCTTGTTAGGTGTCCAAGCCACTTCATTTGTTGTTCTTTGATGACCTGTAAGACTGGCTTTATTCCTAGCAATCGTCTGATTTCATGATTTCGTATTCTGTCTTTCCTTGAAACTCCTGCAGCTCTTCTAAGGCATTTCATCTCTGTTGTCACAATTGTACGTTCATTGGAGGATGTGAGTGTCCACATTTGGCACTGATAGCATAGTGTTGGCCAAAAAATAGTTCTGATCAAGAACTTACTACAAAACTAAAATCAGTCTGTTATAAATGTGGCATGGACACTAATGCAGAGAAAAGCAAAATACTGGAAAAAAGCAATGACAGTCAAGCAGCTACCAACATACAGAGTTGAGTTGATTCAAGAACTGACATCACAGCACTCGGGGCATTCCCATAAGCTCTTTATCCCCATCTTCAGCAGCCGGTGAAGAGTTCCGATACTAATAGTGCCAGTAGCATTCTGATTAAATGTCCGTCTTGCCTTTCCTCTGAGCCTCGAGCATCTGCCAGAACCTCTCGTCACTCCCCCCTGCATCAATCTTACCAGACTATGGTGATCCATCTGCTCCTCCGAGCTGTACACGCTCTCCCACACGGCACTAACCACGAAACACACAGATAAAAGGGGAAATGGAACGTAAACTCTATGGACCACTGAATGAACTAACAACGACAGTGAAATTTATACAAGAGACAAAACTGCTGATATAGATAACTTATTTCAGGCGAACGAAAGAAGAAGAAGAAGAAAGGGGAAAAACTAGAAGCTGAAATCATTAAATACCTCGGCTCCCACATATGTAATAATGGTATTTCTACCAAAGAGATAGGACAAAACTTGATGTGGCAAAGCCGCGATGTCCCAGCTGAATACGATGCAGAAAAGAAAAGGGAGCAAAAGAAGACCCTCAAATGAAGACATCAAGAAATGGACAGACTAAAGTGTTATAAACTTGTTCAACAAGAGGAGACAGAGAAAGACGGTGGATTTTGTGTATTAGTGCTTCCGTCGATACACCGCCATGACCCTAATGGATCAAGGGTTATGTTTTGTTATCCTAGGAAAATTCTGATAATTCTTTCTCTGTTTCATGTCAAGCTAGTTATCCCTGTCCTGTCTGTTTTATCTTCTTATATTCCTTTTGCTCTGTTGATCCCAGAAGAAGCATTGTTAAGTTATGCTAAAAGACTTTTTTATAATTTCTCAGTGTATATGTTGTGCAGCATAAGGGGTGCAATGCCTAATCAGGGCATATATTTCAATATTTAAGAGTATATGAGTCATAATATCAGTTACACAGATTTTGAAGGTTAGTTTTAACCATCTATATAAATTCTCTTCTGGGTTGGGGGTAGGGGGGCCCATTTTGAATAAGCATGTCATAAAGTCGACTAATTAGGGGTGTTTCTATCAAAGTGAGAGTACATCTGCCTGAGAGGCAAAGAACCAACAGTCTGCTTACAAATAAAAGTTAACACTGTAAAACGGATGTGCATGCAAAAACTCAAATACTGGAACAAGACTAAAGCCTAGAAGTGGACAAACAACCATAATTTTCTGCCAGAGTTTACCGCTGGTGAACGCAAAAAAACAGAAGTTAATTTTCACTTTTTTCAGTTATTTTATAGAAGTGTTGGGGGGGATCTAAGGATCTCCTGTGTGCTTTTTCTAACGTGACGTATAAGCTGGTCTTCATTTATTGAACATCATGCAGAGATATCAAACCAAATGAAAAGTAGGACTGGTCAGTTTCATATTATTACGATCACAAACAGCAAGTAAATGTTTCACCTGAAAAGCCTTCTTTGGCACGTAACATGAATAGATAATATTCCATTTACAAACAAGAATACACAAAATCACTTAACTGATGCATCTTCAAGAAGAATCCACGTCTATCTGGCTAGTTAAAGCTCGGAGACACGTGCGAATACAGGAAATGAATGCTAGCCAGCAGGGAAACAGTGTGACAGGCAAAGACTGTTTTCGGTGCTATTGTTCCATGTTCTACATGGTCTTCCCTTTGCTTTCTGTGGCACTTGACACCAAGGCATTCTCATATGGTGGTCAAACCATCTTATCTGCTGCTCTTTAATAAACTATATGACTGGTTTCAGACATAATTTTTTTTTTCTCTCTTGATTTATCCATTTAAAAATTTTATTTTTGTGTTAACGTAATAAATTAGAATTTATTGGTGTAATAAATTGGAATTAATGTAACTAATTGATAAGACACGAGCAGTTGTGTAAGGCATGTAATATCAAGGGTAATCAGTGAACACATGGTGTATTACTTGGTGCTTAATGAGGTAATTTTTGCTGACTTTCACAGTGAAGCAGTAAGTAAAAGTAAATATGGTAATCAGTTCCAGTTAAGTTGTTCTTATCATCTTTGTGTGTAGTAGACATTCCATGGAGAAGCGGGCACTACAGGAGGCTTCTGATTGTCAGAAGAAGTTCCCTTTCACCACATGTTTCGGCCCAGTTGTTTCAGTTTCTGTACTGTTTGTTACCTGTGTAGCCCTGGTTGCTTTAGTGCAGCGGTTCTCAACCTGTGGGTTAAATGAGCTTTTTACAGGGGTTGCCAAAGACCACTGGAAAATACATATTCACTGAAGTTGTGAAGTAGCAGCGAAAATAATGTTATGGTTGGGGGTCGCCACAAGATGAGGAACTGTATTAAAGGGTTGCGGTATTAGGCAGGTTGAGAACCTCTGCTTTAGTGCATCATAAACAGACATGGACGTCAGCCTTCTTGTGCCTGCCCCAATGGAAAAGCGTCATGCTGCATACCCCTCCTCAATCCTCAGAATAGGGATCGTCATCAAGTAGCAGGTCCTTTGCGAAACATTGATCTCATCACAGTCTGCCTGAAAACTCTTATCTGTCTCTCATCAGCGTTCTCCCCTCGTGTACTTTCATATTCAAGGAGTCACTTAACTATAGACTTTCAGGGCTGTGAATGAAGATCAGTCTTTGAATATAACATCTGGTATAAAAAATGTCTCAAAGAAAAGTAAAAAAAAAGGTGTTTAGTTGCTTTGTTTCATGAACAACATCACAGCATTCAGGGCATTCCCACGTGGGCTCCATCCCCATGTTCTGCGACCAACGCAGAGTTTCAGTAACAGTATTGCCAGTAGCAGTCTGATTATATATATGTCCATCTTGCCTTTCCTCTGAGCGTCAAGTATTGGCCATATCCCATCATAGTGTAAAAAAAAACTGAATAGCAACCAGCCATTCATGCTGACTAACAAGTGACTGGTGTAACACTGGCTGCTTCGTCCCATAGAAAATGTTCTGTGAAATCTGACCAGTCCTGAGCAAGTCTACAAAGGGCTTAGTGTTAGTGGGAACAGGTTTTTCCTGTGTAGGTTTTGGGGCCCATGGGTAAAAAATAAGACTAATTGCCTCCTAACAAGCATACCCTAAAAGGTGACTCGTTAGGAGTTTGGTGAAATCAGATATTTTGGGGTGAAAGGCACACATATCGCAGCCTAGCTGTATCGCAGCCTAGCTGTAAACCACAATGCAATGTGCTAGCCACCTTTTTATGGGCACATGCAGAGAAAGTAGTATGAATTAGTTTTGTACCTGTGCTACTTTGAGAGATAAATAGGTCAAAACAAAAAAAGAGAACCTCAATTGAAACTAAACCCACTTTATTTCAACTATAGTGTCATTTATATTGTCATTTCAGTAACATTGTAATTTCAGTTAAATTGTTGACTATCTCGCAGTCCTTCTTTTTCTTCAGCATACTGAGCCCTTGAGTTTCACTGCTACAGATATCACCCACCTCCATTCATCTGACTGGTTGGCCTTCCATTTCTAGTTGGTGACACCAAGTGTTTTGTCTCTTTAAATCCATCTGAGACTTATATATCTGTTTCATGATGAAAGGCAGTTTTACGAAGGTGTGGGGTGTTGGCCGCCACACTTCAACCCCCAATCTGGAGGTGCAGGGTGTCTCTCGTCTATTCTCCAGACTTTGACCTCTCAGGCTTTGGAGGACCTGCTGGTAGCTACGCTACTGCCGGCATAGCTCTCAGGGTCGTTGAGAAACACAAGCTCCCCAACTGCTGCAAGGTTGAGACACCTTCGGGGAAATGTCAGTCATTGAGAAAGAAAAATTAAATTTTTTTGGCTGAAATCTCAGAATATATGTACCAAAGTTAGTTGTGTATCCTTAACAGGATGTTGCCGAACCAACCCCAGCATTTTTTAGCTGTTGTGGTTTTTCTAGGCAAATTTTACGTTCAGTAGTTTGCTATTGCCTCTGAATGGTCAGCTCTCATTACCACTTTTGAAAACCAACGCAAGACAAACCGTCTGCAGCTGGGACCAAGAGGACATGTAATAGTGGAATCTTTAATAAACTCTGAATAGAAAGGAAGATCTGCAAGTAAACATCATGTCCTGGAAACTGAAATATTTTAGCCATATCAATGCCACAATAGATTGGACAGAATAGTAGCAGAGGACATGATGGCAAAAAAGGGGAGGGGGTTGACCAGCACAAAGATGGGCACATGGGCATGGAATATAAGTGACACTATGGGAAGGAAAGTGCATGAGGTGAGAGACCTGGCGAGAGACCATGATTTTTTTAGGCAGGCTATGATGAGAGCGACTTTCAGCAAAGGACCTGCCACATGATGATGATATTTTCATCTTGGGGGTCGCCACAAGATGAGGAACTGTATTAAAGGGTTGTGGTATTAGGAAGGTTGAGAACCTCTGCTTTAGTGCATCATAAATAGACATGGACGTCAGCCTTCTTGTGCCTGCCCCAATGGAAAAGTGTCATGCTGCATACCCCTCTTCAATCCTCAGAATAGTGATCGTCATCATGTAGCAGGTCCTTTGCGGAACATTGATCTCATCACAGTCTGCCATCTTGTTTTTGTTTATTCATTATAAGGGGCCCATACCATATACCTGATGCACTAGTGGCTTTACAAGAGCTCTTTACTTTCTTTTTTTTACATGTACAGTCTTTTTTCTATCGAGGAGTGGCTGGCTGAACAGTAAAGACTGCTGAGCTTTCATGTGGAAGACCCAGGTTCGAGTCCTGGGTAAGATTGTGGATTTGTTTTTCTGTTGGAGGCAAAAATAAAATTCTAACCTGCACTGCTAGTGGTGACTGCATTAGACATACGACCTTAAATCCTCAGACTCAAAGACCCCCCCCCCACCTTGCCTACACCATAAAACTGGTAAATACCAGCAGTAATGGCAGGTTTTTAAATTTTTTTTTCTACTGATTACAAATCTTTTCTGGCAGCTATAATAGCACAATTATAGACCCATAGTTTTGTAGATACAGAAAGAGATGAAAATAGGATGGTTGCAGTCAAGCTAAAAAAATGCAGACCTGATAAGAGGAACTCTCCGGGGGGACCCAAGAAATTATTCTTCTTAACAGAAATTCCTCTTATCTGGGTTAAGAGTTTAAGCAAGATACATTTCCAGGGATAAACAAGTTGTTCTTTACAGTAGAAATTCATTACATCTAAGATGGCCTTAAGTGGTCTCCACTGTACCAAGCAATTAATCCACTCAGTTGTGACTTAGAAAACTAACGAAGGAGAGAAAGGGAACAACATAAATATACAAGAAAATTTAGACATTTCGGTCTGAGCCTTTTTCGATAAAAACCACAACAACAAGAGGGACAGACAGTATGTTGTTGTTTTTTTTTTTTTAAAGGTGAATGATGGGATCAGCAGTCATCCCCATGTTATCATCTGACGTACATTTTACTCTTACATGTTTCCTTTTTGTTAACAATTTCAGAAAAAAAGAGTAAGAAGCAGAAGAAGAAAAAGAAGAAGAAGAAGCAGAGGAAGATGGATGTCTCGTCAGCAAGCAGTCTGAGTGACTCGGATGATAATGATTTCAAAGAAAGTCCTCACTCAGTCGAAGTCAAGAAAGAGAGGTTTGATGAAGGATATAACAAAGCTTTAAAGAAGGAAAGTGTGTTCAAATCAGACAGCAGTGATTCAGATCACAGTAGCAGGGATAAAACATATAGAAATGGCAGAGATAGATATAAATATAGAGACAGCACTGACACTAGGGACAAGAATGACAGTAGCAGGGACAGGAGTGACAGCCGTAGAGACAGGAATAACAGTAGTAGGGACAAGAATAACAGTAGTAGGAATAGAAGTGATGGTAGTAGGGATAGGAATGACAGTAGTGGAGACAGGAATGACAGTAGCAAGGATAGAAAGGGTAGTAGCCGGGACAGAAATGACAGTAGTAGGGACAGGAATGAGGACAGCAGAGACAGGCATGATGGTGGTAGAGATAGAAATAATAGGTCACGAGACTGGAATGAAAGAAGGACAGATAGGAATGACATCAGTGGGGACAGAGAACGCAGCAGTAGAGGAAGGAATGATAGTAGTCGTGACAGGAATGACAGCAGAGGAGAAAGAGATTCAAGTTACAGCCAGGACAGGTACACAAATAATGGGTTACAGAGCCAAGACAGTAGGTTTTATTCCAGTAGTTCCAGCAGAGGTGGCAGCAGACAGTATGACAACCACTCAACCAGGGGAAGGTTTAGTGATAGAGGTGGGGACAGGTATTATGACCGGGGGAGGGGAAGGGGTGGCCGAGGTGTCAGGGGTAATTTCCGAGGCCAGAACACGTTCTTTGATGACCGAGAAAGAAGGTATTATTAGATGTTGATTTTTAAATGCAATTGAGGGATGTGAAGGTGAAGATTGACCCATGGTAGATACTGCCATTGTGTGTCACACAGGGCTCACAGTTTATTATTCCATTCTGTTCTGTCCCATACAGTTGTTTCAATCTCATTGATGGAATCCAGACCAGCAGCTTTGGCCTCTCTCATTAACATTCTTCTTAAGGTTATATAGGACATCCTTGTTCCTCAGCCCACTTGTATCCCATTGAAATGACTGTTTGGTGATTCTCCTGTTTGCTTTTCCTCAAAATATTCCCAATATATTGCCATGTACTCTGTTGTATAACTGTTGATACAAGTGATTGACCAGAGATTTCTTTGATTTCTTTGTCTTTCTTGAATTCATCCAATTCACTGTTTATCAGTTTCCTTAGGCAATTGTCTTCTAATGTATTTAACTTTCATTCTATGTCTGCCATATTCTGTGAGTTGTGAAATGGTAGGCCTTCACATATTATAGGCCTCTCATATTGGCTATTTTGCTGTTGGGTCAACAGATCGGCCCAGTCGTCCCCAAAGGGTTAAGTAATTGGATCATAGTTTGTGATGTTTACTGATGAAAGCTGACTAGCTAGGTTTTTATTTTGTCACTTATGATTGTCTGTTATTGTGGGAAGGGAACTGCTTCTAGTTTTAATTTTTAATACACCTTTTCATTGTTTTTTGGAGTTTGTGTGTGTGCTAAGGATATAGCATATTTTACTGAATAAAGACTTGAATGAAAGAATAAAGTTCAAACCTACCAGGGCCACCATTTGGATGAGGATCATCCAGACATAAGTCCCAGAAGCCCTATTCAACCGTTAGGTTATATTAGGGCCCCAGACAACAGCTGGAGTGGGGCTTTAAAATAATGAAAAATCACGTCACATATTGGGACAGGTTTTCTAGAATAAAGACTTGCATTAGCTTTGTCTGTATGATACACCATTAGTGTAGTGATTGGTGACTATCATCATGGCACTCATGTGTGTGGGTGTTTGTGTGTGTGATTGTATGTGAGTGTATAAGTGTGATTGTGGGTGTATGTATGTATGCAAGTATGTGTGTGTGTGTGTGTGTAAATGTGGGTGTCTGTATATGTGATTGTATGTGTAGATGTATATGTATAGAATGTGTGCATGTATGTCTATATATGTATGTATGTATGCTTGTGAGTGTATGTATGTATGTGTGTGTATATGTATGTAAGTGCAGTTATGTATGTATTATGTATGTCTGTATATTAGTGTATGTATGAGAATGTAAGAGTATGTGTACGTGTGTGCATCATTGTGTTAACATAATGTGTGTATGCATTATTCTATAATGTATGTTTTTTTTATTATAAACATAACATGCATTACTGATAACAGGCAGTGGTACTCTGAAAGATGAGTGCTTAGAAGGGCTGAATGTCAGACGGGCCTGCGTGCCCAATTTGTAACCCTTTGAAAATAAATTTTGTTCGTTCGTTCATCATGAGTCACCAGGTCTTTTACGGAACATCGCTGTTGTCACCACATGCCTCAAGGTCTCTCTTTCTCTAGACAGTTCTCCGGTCATATGTGCTTTCAGAGTGAATGCATCCTTTTCTTCTTCTTCTTTGTTCACCTGGTTAAGCTCTAGGCGAAAGTCCTGATTGTTTTTCCATCTGGATTTTGGCTGTTGTGCCAGGGCCTGAGTTTTGCATGTACATCCATTTTACTGGCTGGTTTGTTTGCGCTTGGTTGTTCTTTGTCACTCAGGCAAATGCACTCTAACTTCGAAGGAAGTCCCCAGTTAAACTCATACAGCACACTTATTGACGAGGCAGTTGGTATATTCTTGTTTTCCCCACAATGGGGCCGCGGAGCCCACTAGAGTTTCTAAGAATAGATAATATGGTAATCTCCTCTTGCTTTCGACATCAACATAGCTGAACCATCGCCAGTCTTCTAGATTGTCAGGGTAAGTGAGTACCCTGTTTTATGATGCAATTGCTAACAAGAGACAGCATTGCAAAAATGTGTGCTTATCCCGGCGGATGCTAGGTCCCCAAGACTGGGTTAGCTGCACCGAGTTGCATTTCCATAAACTACCAGGAGGTGATGCAAAGAGACCAGGGTGGCATATCCCACGCATCATAGCACACAAACACACACACCACTGGGAAAATTTTAGATCTCAAAAGGCATATGAGAGAAGAGATATGGAAAATATTACATATCAATGGCCTTACATGAGAAGAAGAAACATTAATGGTAGTAGAACATGTTAATTAATGTCTCCCCCCCCCCCCCCCCCCCCTCCCCCCCAAAAAAAGTGAAGGGTCCTTTTCCACGCCCTTATGTGTATTGGGTATACAGGGCTAGATCTGTATTTTATAGACCATTCAGCACTTAGTGGTTTACTTGGTCAACATTATGCCGACCACCTTTACTTCCCAGGACTGCGCCTGGTACCCACTCAAGGCTATGTCACCAAAGATATAATGAAAAAGGCACCCACTTGTATCTTTATTTTGGGAGGCAAGGTCTGCGATTGTGGTAACTAAGTACTTCACCTGATTATGATGTGGCCTTTATTTGTAAAATATTTAACATTATTGGTTCATATCTTGATCTTGTACCTTAAAATCATTGTGTGTTTATTGCATGTCTTCTGTACTTCTTTTATTGAACACTGTTTTTATGTTTATTAAATTTTCTGTACATAATGACTTTGGCTTCAGTTTCTGTCCCCTCAGTTCTTCAAACAGGTGTTCCCAAATGCCAGTCAGCATTTCTTGATGCTCAGTTTAGGGTGGGTTGACCCGGAGCTCCAGGTTAATAATAAAAAATCTACTATGACATGTGTTCAAACCCAAGGCCTTCAGGCTGGTAGGCAAATATCTAGACACTGCACTGCTACAGCTTTCTTCGTAGACATGTCATTTGGGTTATATTTGATATTTGTGTGTGTACATATGTATCAACCAAAAGGTTCTTTACAGATGGTCGCTCTCCTCACAGCATGCCTGAAAGTATCTCTAACTCTAGACAATTCTTCAGCTCTCTGTCACTTTCATAGCCCACCTTTACAGTGGTTGGCGTCTGTCTAATTTTCCAAAAACTGCACCCGCCATCACTCTTCTCTCCAAGCCACCATGAGGCTTAGAGTGGCCAAAATAGCTCGGCTTTTGGGAAAGGATGCTGTTTTATGAGTCAGTTCTCCTGGAGATGCAGATCATGTAGTCTGTCAGTGTTCACGGAGGTCAGTCTCTGCCTCATGTTGTGGAAACTGCACCCTCCATCAATATAACCCAACGGTTGTACAGGGTTTCTGGGACTTGTGCCCGGGTGATTCTCATCTAAATGATGACACTTTATGTCATCCGATGTTTGTCGCTCGTCGTTCAGCCCTGATGGGATTGAATGTCACTCACTGACTCCATCGCCAATCTCTCCAGATCATCTTAACGCTCAACATGGCCAAAATACCCCAGCTTTCAGGACAGGATGCTGTTTTTAAGCCAGTTCTTGAAGTTTTATATCATATAGCATGTCAGTGTTCATGAATGCTATAATGGACTCTGTCTTTCAGTTTGCCAGTATAGATATTTAAAAGAATTCTTTGGAATCATTGCTAGAGGTACTGAGTTTCATATTTTGTACAGCTCATTAACAGCTGCTCTGTCCAAATAATTTTTTTTTTTAATCCCTTGAATTTGTTGATCCTCTGTACAGAAAATCAGTGGAGAAATCAACTTTAAATTCCATTGTTCTCTGTCATCCCTTGGTTGAATATTGAATTAATAATTGACATCTCAGCACTCTGGACACTCCCATAAGTGCTCCGTCCCCATCTTCAGCAGCTGGCTTCCCTTGGTGAAGTGGTCAAGCTATTTGCCTCATGCTGTCAAGATCTGGGGATGGCTAGTATCTGGTGCCAGTGTTGAATCGGGGGAATTAAATGATAAGGTGTAATCACTAATAGGGAGATTTAGAAAAGAACTACACAAACTCCGGTGGAGAAGAAAAGATGCTGATGTTGGATAGGCCACACACTGAGAAAACCTGAGAATAGTATAACTGGAATATCTTTTCATTGGAACCCACAGGATCCTAGTAATAAAGGTAGACCAAAAACACATAGGGATGGGATATATGGATTAGAGTTAGACAAATTGGTAGGGCTAGAGGGCATGAGTTGGAATAGGGCAGTTATTGGGGCCAAAATGTTGAAAATATGGATCGTCACAAACCAGAGGTCTGAGTCCTATCATAGAACGATTATCAATCAGATGCATTTAACATTGATGCATGGCCAACTTGCTAGGTCTATGGGAGCTGGATTTGGCTCCTGGACCCCCTGTTGAATAGCCCTGCTGTAGGGCTTGTGCTCCATTCATAAAAAAAGGTCAAAATAATAAGAATAACACTTTTATGTGCATTAAATCTGTAAATAAGATCTGTTGCAGGAAGACAAAAGAAACGAAAGCACAAGTGGTCTATTGCTTGGAGAAGTATATAGCACGATGATTTCGATGCTTGCTCATATACTGAGAGATGTGCGTTATTTTTTTTTAATATTCAGACTGAAGATTTGTTATTATCTGTTGTGAGATGAGATAGCTATATGAGTCCTAAACGTATAATGTATGACATCTGTCAATGGTGTCATTTCTTCAGTTTGTGTGTCTAGCTATAACTATTAAATGTTGATTCCTAAGTATTACTGGCAGTTTTTAGTTCTATTATTAATACAAATTTTACAAAAGAAGTTTATAGCACTTAACTTTTTTTTCTTTTAAGCGGCTACATGTGCTACAGTACTGCCAACATGTAATTTTATTTTAGTGACACCATTGACTTTGTTCTACTTTTAGAACATATAGGACTACTTGCCTGCCTTAATGGAAATTTGACCCTAATCGGATATTAAAAACCCTTCATGGGAAAAACAGTTTTTAACTTTTTCAAACTTAGAGTGTGTCATGGCTGACCAAAAGGTAAGAAGTGAAATAAAAAGAACTTACTACACAGTCATTGGTGCTCCCAAGGAAAACTATTTTCAAAAATGGCCTTGATCCCCAGGTCGACCCAGCCTTGAGTGGGTACCGGGTGCAGTCATGGGAAATAAAGGCAGTTGTGAAATGCTGACCACATCACCCATCTTGTGCCGAGTGGCCTTTAAAAATATAGGTCTAGTCCTATATGCCCTATACCCATAAAGGCGTGGAAAAGGGACCTTTACTTTGCTATGTTATTTCACATATGCATAAGGAGTTCAAGAAAGAATCTAGAAAGAGATGGCTTATGAAGTACCTGGTTAGGTCACAAGGAGTTTGGGAAAATTTTCCCTGGTAGTGAATTCCTTGGTATTCAATCTTCCTCAATTCATTCTCCCTGCCATTGCTTTTCAGATGAGAAGGCCACAGGGTTCTTTGAAGTCTGTGTTGCCCTGCATACTTTCCACTGATCCATGTGATGCCACGCACTTTCCACTGATCCATGTGATGCCACGCATACTTTCCACTGATCCATGTGATACCATGCATACTTTCCACTGATCCATGTGATGCCACGCATACTTTCCACTGATCCATGTGATGCCACGCATACTTTCCACTGATCCATGTGATGCCACGCATACTTTCCACTGATCCATATGGTGCCACGCATACTTTCCACTGATTCATGTGATGCCACGCATACTTCCCACTAATCCATACATCTTGGTTTTTATTGCAGCGCCAACTAACGAAACCTGGGATCTCTCCACTAGATGTAGAGAACATGTCTGTAGCACATTTTCAGTATTCTGTGGTGCCTGCTCACTTGGGCAAAGTTCTGAATCTCCAATCTTGAATTTCTTTACGTATGGCTGCAGTCTGTTGTGTTCATGATGTATTATTCTAAATATAAAGGTATGCTTCTTTCAAGTAGGGAGCTGCATGGTGTCTGCTTTGAGGGCTAGAGGTTCTGGGTTCAATCCTCGGTAAGGGCTGGGATTTTTTCACTTGGACTTGGACTTATAGTAATTCCCACTGGTCTTTGAGTAGTGAGGTCCGACGCCCGTGTGCATTGTTGCGCACCTAACAAATCCTGTGGCAGTTGGAAATCGAAAATAGTAGCCTAACGGCGCTGCCCCGGCAAAATTTGGAGTTAAAAATCTACTCAAAGTAACTCAGGATCCTCGCCGGTGCTACAAAGCCTGTGCACTTTGCTGAGCTTTTTCGGACTCAGACTTGAGTTAGAAGAAGAATGGAGCACTTATGGGTATCATCCATGTGCCATGATGTTGATCCCTTGTTCAAAACCTCAAACTTGATACTTCTTTCAAGTGAGGAGGTTGTTTGAGACTTTAGGACTGTGTCCTGCACTCCCCATGTGTGTTCCAGGGCCCCATTTTGGAGGAACAAAGAAAAGACCCTAACTTGCGTATCATATCATTGTGCATGTTGTCTTCAAAGTCAGAGTCCATCTGCCTAAGAAACGAGGAACCAACAGTCTGCATACAAATAAGCCAGATTTGTAAAATAGATGTGCACACAAAATTATAGAACAAGACCAAAGTCCACAAGTGGATCAACAACCAGAATTTTCCGTCAGTTAACAGCCTGTGAGCATGAAGAAGACGATGGGAAGTTTCCAGGGGGTTCTAATGGCTGTCTTGATCTGAGTTTAATTTTTTCGTAAGTACATCCTGTATCGCGGCGTCCGTGGCTAAGGCGTTGCGAGTCCGACTCGTAAGCCAGCATACCGCGATCGAAACCCACTGCAGGCTGCGTGGATTTTTGTCGTGGTATGGGACGTCGCAGGTCGACCCAGCCATGGGTACCAGGATAGATGGGCTGTCCTGGGAAAGTAAAGACAGCCGGCGTAATGCTGACCACATTACCCACAGAGTGCTGATGGTCTGTAAAAATATGGGACGCTCTGCCCATATGCCCGATGCGCCGAAAGGCGTGAAAAGGGAACTTTACTTTACTTTTTTTTACTTTACTTACATCCTGTATCTGACTGTTCTGTATGACAGACAGATTGGCTGGATCTGCACCACTGGGTGTGGAATTGATACATGACAAGGCAGATGTTAACGCCCTTTGGAAACAAGCAACGGAGTCAGTAGAGAAAGAAGATTATTATGGCCTGGTGAGGATGAGGCACCTGGGTGTAACCAGAGGGTTTTGGCTGGCTGACTACACTCAGAGGAAAGGCAAGACGGACATTTAACCAGATTGTGACCGGTACCATCAGTACTGGAACTCTGCCCTGGCTGCTGAAGATGAGGACGGAGAATGCATGGGAATGCCCGAGTGCTGTGATGTCAATTCTTGACTTAACTAAACTCAACTGTTCTGTATGACTTTAAATTTTTTTTGCTACGGTAGTCTGCTCTTTCTTGTCCCTTAATATTGCAATTGGCCTGGAAGCAATCTTCTTGGTTAACTGGCCCATTTAATGTAGCATAAATCTAAGCTAAAAAGAGAATATGGGCTATCAAACGTCACGACGTATTGGAAAAAAAAATAGCAGAAGGCATGGTACCAGGAAGGAGGGGCAGGGGTCGACCAACACGAAGATGGGCACAGGATATAAGTGACTCCTTGAGTATGAAAGTGAATGAGGCGGGAGAACTGGTGAGAGATCGAGTTTCTTTCAGGCAGACCGTGATGAGAGCGACGTTTTGCAAAGTATCTGTTACATTATGAGATCTTTGATTGTTGAACCGTAGCTAGTTATAATTGTGTATTCCTTGCAGTATCAAGGGAGTATCTGTCAGTATTACCACTTTTGACTCAGTGCTTTATTCATACTTCATAGAGTAAAACTGCTACTGCCTCCAGTGCCATTGCCTCCACTTTGTACTCCTCCCTGTAATGCCTTCCTGCGGAATGAGTTAATGAATTTGAATACGAGTTCCCTATGGGTTCCAGGGCCTTGTTTAAGGGGATTTAAAAAAAAAAAAGTGACCTTAAGCAAGTGTGCCATGAGCAGTAGAGGAGATAAGCCAGACCGAGAAAGACGTGGATACAGAACTTGACTGACTAGTGTCAGGTCTTAGGCATACAACCACGAAATCCAGTGCATCTGACCATCAAAGATGGAAAGAGCTTGTCAAACAATCAGCAGCTACTGGTGACGCCGCCCTCCCCACCCCCCCCCCCCCTAATCGACACGTGATGTTATGGGACTATGATGATGACAAAGTTAGTAAGTAAATTTTACCCCACCAGGACATCACACAAGCGATAAACACCCGGTAACACAGTGTGCCACCATGCGGATGAAAATTATCCGTGGAGTGGTCCCAGAAACCGCGTTCAGCATTCAGACCATATTGCGGTGGGGCTCCAAAAATTGCGTCTCACATGAGGACGACCTTATGATGACGAACCCCAACCCAAACTTGGGATCAAATGAATTTTATATAAGGACTGCTAGGACTCGAAGAGATTACGTCAGAACAAATTCACTGGTAGAATATATTTGCCCTTATTATAATCTAAAAAATCGCTGCACAAATGTAATGTGTTACAGGCGAATGTGCTGCACATTCGTGGCGATGTCGACATTGTCTGGCTTCGGTTCTGTTTCGAGTTCTCCTCTGGTGATGGCGGTTTTCACAACTCCTATACTGCTGCATGCAAATATGGAAGCTAGCAGAGACAAGTACCAGCTGAAGTCCGGGCTCAAGTTGACGACAGTAACGTTGAACCGGAAATAAAGGGAGCCGGCAAGGAGAAAAATACCTGAAAGTGTGTGTATATAAAAATATGTATGTATACTCACACACACACATATATATATATACATATATATATATACATATGTATATATATGTGTGTGTGTGTGTGTATATATATATATATATATATATATATATATATATATATATACATGTATATATATATACATGTATATATATTTATATATCTACAGTGCAGACCGCTTAAGGCGATCACGGATGTAACACATTTATATTGTGAAGCCATTTTATATGGTGACCATAACCTAGTCACAATTATAACCTAAAGCACCCCCTTCAGAGACGCTGGTTGAATGTGGGGAGATAACCCCCCCCCCCCCCCCCCCTTTTCCCCAAGCACCTGCCTACCTAGCTTGTCTAATAACGAAACCTGCTTCTGGTAGAATTGTTCATAGAACGCACGCGAACGCATTCCTTTCTTTCCAAGTGAAATGAACATTTTGACCGCAAGGAGACTTAATTATCTGAACGGCTAAGTTTTTTTTTTTTTTTCAATGTGGTTGTATGACTGTCCGAAAGCAAGGCAAACTACTGAATATAAAAGTACCTAGTAAAACCAGAGAAACAGTCAGACACTGCTGGGATTGGTTCTGCAACGTCCTGCAAAGGACATGCAGCTAACTTTTCAAACACTGTCTTTGTTACTGCATGCTTTTTTTCAAGCTGCAACATTTTCATTTTTTTTTTAAATATTTTAATTTATGACTGTATTTTATTGGGAAGCTGAGATCTACTTCTCGTTCTACTTTCTTTTCTCTGTAGTATGTTCAGCTAAATTGCGGTTCTTCTTCTTCTTCTTCTTCTTCTTCTTCTTTTTTTTCTTCTTCTTCTTCTTCTTCTTCTTCTTCTTCTTCTTCTTCTTCTTCTTCTTCTTCTTCTTCTTCTTCTTCTTTGTTCACCGGCTGTGAGCTTCAGAAGAAAGTCCTGGCTGTTCAGGGTCAGAGTTTTGCGTGTACAATACTACCTTTTTGTGTGCAGTTGTTCATTGCTGCTCGGGCTGATGCACTTCGACTTCGAAAAGTCCCCAATTAGTCGACTCCTACGACATGCTTGCTAGAAAGGTTGTGGGTTCATTCTGGTCCCCCCCCCCCCCTCCCCACAATGGGGTTCCGAAACCCATACAGGGATACTATGGTTCGCTAAATTCACTTTACCTGATAAGCCTGCAAACAAAAAGTAGAAGAGAAATCCTGGACCACTAAATGTTGTTAAAAACAATATGTAGCATGGTGTAGCTAACAACAAGTGACCTCCTCCAAATGACTGCAGTATTACCGTTGTTTGGAATTCCACTGGGAAAAAAAGGAAACAGTTGTACTCATGCCTTCATTAAATCTTTCAGTACTACAAGGTTTCAAATGAGATTCCAAAGGGTTAAAATAATCCTGATACTAAATCAAGAATGCATTACTTTTTCTATGAGTGCTGTTCACAATACTTTCTGTTACTTGATTAATTACTTTCACAGTGGCAATATGCACAGTTGTAGTAACCAAGGGGAAAAGCCAGATTTCTCAAGTGGCTTTGACCAAATGGTGAAAGCAAGAGAAGCGCATTACGCCTTAGAGGAGAATCCAGCGATAAATCGTGACTGAAAGAGTTAAATTAGGAAATTTGCAGGAAGACACAAGAAACGAAAGCATGGATTGAACCTTAAAATTAGCACAAGTGGCCTAGTGGTTGGAGGAGTATATAGCACAATGATTTCGATGCTTGCTCGTATACTGAGAGATGTGTGTTGTTTTTTAAATTCAGACTGAAGATTTGTTGTTATCTGTTGTGAGATGAGATAGCTAGCTATACGATTCCTAAACGTATAAAGTATGACACTGTGAATCACAGTCATTGATTTAGTAGTTTGTTGTTCAATTTGGTCAGTTCATATTTTTTTTTTTAAATCTTTGTTTTTATAATAGTTTCTACTGTATATTTAGCTGCTTTCGAAAACAATCCCCATTGTTTTTAGGCGGTACGTAATGGTAGGCAGTTCTGACACCTTTGTTTTAGGCAATATTTGTTTCGGCGCTACTGTAATCAACACATTTTAATAAGCACCACCATCATCTTTTGTAGACACTTTGTGACGATTACCGGCACCACTTGTTGACAACAAAAGCAAAAGTCTCTTTTTTTAAATCTACTTTAAAAAAATTGTTTTAGCAATAAGGAGACTAATTAGCATAAAGAACCTGAGTTGAGTTCAGATGAGTTTAGTCAAGAACTGACATTACAGCACTAGGGGTATTCCCATGCATGATCCGTACTCATCTTCAGCAGCCAGTGCAGAGTTCCAATACTGAGGGTACCAGTCACAATCTGGTTATATGTCTGTCTTGCTTTCCTCGGAGTGTAGTGAGCCGGCCAGACCTTTTGGTTACACCCACGTGCCTTATTCTCTCGAGGCCATAATAATCTTCTTTCTCTATTGATCCTGTTGCTTGTTCCCAAAGGGCCTTGACCACATCTGCCTAGTCATGAGTCAATTCACCACCCAGTGATGCAGATTCAGCCCATCTGTCTGCCTGTTCATTACCCACCACGCCGGCATAACCTGGAGAAAAGATCCAAAGTATGCTCACTACCCGTGACCTTTCCAGTGAAGCTTGCCACTCTGCTCGAAGCATCCCTGTCATTATCATTTTGAAGATAAATATCTTCTAATATTCCATTTATTTATCTTTAAAATAATTCAATAACACATGTTGCAAATTAATTAAACTGTAGTTCAATTTGTGTATAAATCTACTCGATAACAGTTGTTACCACCGACCGGCCACGATAGTCTCACAAAAAGGGGAATTCCCGTTTGAGCTGTACGGTCTTATATCTGGAGCTGGCCGTGGGTACCATCATCATCGTCGTCATCATTATAATCTTGTTGTGACCTTAAGTCAGACAGGGCTCGCAGTTTATTTTCCCATTCTGTTCTCTCTAGTGCATTTCACTCAAATCATAGATAGAATCCAGTCCTGCATCGGGTGCCTCTCTCATCAACGTTAGCTTTAGTGTTTCTATTGGACGTCCTCGTTTCTTCAAATCAATGTGTTTCTCATTTCAGTACATGTCTGCTGACACTCTGCTTCTTCTCAGGATGAACATCTTCCTTCTTGGTCTCATAGCTACAACAACTACCGGTAGTTGTCCAGGCATATCGTCGGGTTTTATTGTAAACTAACTGCCGACGGCAGGTACCGGCTATGACCATTATTAGTAATATGGGCAATACAGTGTAAAACTCGTTTGTTTTATGTGTGGGGTAAAAAAATAGAATTAGAAAACTTGATAGAAAATGAAGTCACATAACAATAAAGTCGAACGAGTCAGTCTAATATTTCAGGGGTTGGTAGATAGGTTGCATGCTGTCGTGGGACCTAGGCTGCACTCTTTCGTGGGACGTTGGCTGGTTGGGGTAAGGGCCAGTTCTAGATGTTTTGGGGTGGTTAAAGGCTTCAGAAAGCCATAAAACATAGTCTCACCACGCTCTAAAAGGTTGGACTGTCCTGTGACGTCATCTGGGGGTAGGATATTAATAACTAACCTTTTTTTTAAAGCAGCGTGGGAATTAGGAGAAGGAGGATGAGACGTGAGGAAGAGGGTCTGATGATCTTGGGAGGGGAGTAAGAGAAGGGTAATGGAAGAAAGTTTAATAATAAATTTGCTCTCGGTATGTTTAGACACATAAAAAAACCACCATTGTAAAGACATTACCTTTGTAGATTCGAAAAAACCGCCGCCTGTCATACTCCTCTCCGTCTATGGACACAGTAAATAGACCCACATTACAGTTCTTCCTGTACACATGACCGAGTGTGTATGACCCAGAAAGCCATCCTGTAGTGACCATTGACGCAACCAACAGGCCAATGGCTATCAGCAACAGGACCAGTGCTGCACAGGAGAAAAATCCGCGTGTTCGCATGTCTGCCTTTTCACGCTTTACTTTTTGTAAGGAAGACAAATCCTTTGATGATGATAAGGAAGAAAAAAAAACTTACAGGTAAATTCTAGGAGAGTAATATACAAACCGCATTTTTTTTTCAGAAGCTGAAATATTTTGGTTATATCAAGCACCATGGTAGACTAGAAAAAATAATAGCAGAAGGCACGGTACCAAGAAGAAGCGGCAGGGACTGGCCAACACGGAGATAGGCAGATGATATAAGTGACTCCTTGAATATAAAAGTACACGAGGCGGGAGAGCTGCAGAGATACCGAATTTCTTTCAGGCAGACCGGGATGAGAAAGATGTTCTGTAAATTCCCTGCTACGTGATGAATATATATGCAGATGAGGGGGAAAAAAGGGATATTTAAAAAAAAATGGATGAATACAAAAAAAAAAAAAAAAAAAACAAGAGGAGTTTTAATTCTACTAGCAAATACGTTTGACCAAATGACAATAAAATAACTATCAAACTTAGAAATATAACTCTAATAGCAAAAAGGTAAAATACCAGTATTAGATATAATATTGAAATAAGACCGTGTCTGAATTAATTTGACCCCAAAAAATGAAATGGTTGAGCAATCTAGCGAGAAAAAAGCCAGACCATTTCGTCTATGAGACTTTTTACAGCATCACATCTTTGAGGAAGGCGAGCGAAGACCAAGAAGGAAGTGGATAAATGGTGCAGCTGAAACTTGCAAAAGATGAACAAATACACCCAAGGCACCCGAGAAGCACAAAACAAATTTTGACAACCACGATTCTGGGACACAGCGTTTTGCGGGCCACTGCAAAATGTTAAAAAGTCTGAAACCACGGCATTTAGAATGCACTCTCTCTTTGGACCTGGGTTCTGCATGTGGCGAATGGAGGTTTAGGTTAGGGCCAGTTGCACCTGTTATTGGGTCGTTACAATCGCTCACGTGCTGTAATGTAGAGCTCGCGTGACGGAAGAGTGAGTTCTTGATTTTTATAAATTGACGCGCAAGTTTGACGAAAGTTTCATAAACAATCTGGCCTGGCTGCATTCTCATTAGATGGCCGAACCATTTCATTCTTTGTCTGTGAATATAATCCAGACTTGGTCTTATTACGACTTACTCTCTAATGCTGGTATTCGAAATCCTGTCTCGCCTTGAGCTGTTAGTTGCTTTGCGGAGACAGTGCATTTTCTTAGTAGTTATTTTCTGTTCTGGCGCCTTATCCATTGTCCGTGTTTAGCACTGATAATATAAAGTATGGATAAAGATGCTATTAATCATTTGCTGTTTTGCTGGAAGGGAGACATTAGTGTGTCTTAGTAGTGGAGCTAACTGGTAGGAGACAGCATTTGCCCTGTGTACTCTTATATCACGAAATAATATGACTAATGGCAAATATGTATAATAATAATTTTGGAAATAATATATGCTTAAATAAATGCATGTAATTGAGAACAGAACTTTCGTATATGGTTAGGAGAGTGGGAGAACTCTACCCATGAGGCTGAGGTTAGAGGTTTGAACAAAGGATCATAGCGCACGGGTGCTCCGTTCTTCTTCTAACTCAAGTCTGAGTCCGAAGAATCTCTGCGCAGTAGCACCGACGAGGATCCTGAAATACTTTTGGCAGATTTAAAACTAAATTTACTCAAGCAGCGCAGTTAAGCTACTGTTTTTGATTTTCAACTGCCTGGGGATTTTTTTACGTGCGCAACAATGTACACGGGCGTCGGGTCTTACTCACTACCCAGAGACCAGTGGGAATTAATAGAAGTCCAAGTCCACGTGAAAAATACCCACCTCTCACCCTTACCTTACTTAATCACTGTACAATGTCAAAGGAAGGCTGGAGAGCTTTAGGCGCTTGAGCCCTCTAAATTCGGATCCCCTCTAAAAGCTATGCATAAACTGAACAGGACTGAAGTAAATTCTGCAGTATCTTTCCTCCCGTACAACAGTGGAATTGCATTGTCTAAAATGACAGCGTGAATATGTAATTCAAGCTTTAGACAGACAGTATGAAAGGGCTGCACCGTTAATCTTACCTGTGGACATAGTGTTTATGTAAAGATTTTGCAGTGTACACATTTCTGGACATTTCCACCCGTCCATCCATCCATTTGTCTGTCTATCTATCTATCTATCTATCTATCTATCTATCTATCTATCTATCTATCTATCTATCTATCTATCTATCTATCTATCTATCTATCTATCTATCTATCTATCTATCTATCTATCTATCTATCTATCTATCTATCTATCTATCTATCTATCTATCTATCTATCTATCTATCTATCTATCTATCTATCTATCTATCTATCTATCTATCTATCTATCTATCTATCTATCTATCTATCTATCTATCTATCTATCTATCTATCTATCTATCTATCTATCTATCTATCTATCTATCTATCTATCTATCTATCTATCTATCTATCTATCTATCTATCTATCTATCTATCTATCTATCTATCTATCTATCTATC